AGTATATGGTCTGGGTTTTTTCGGAAATAATTACACAGGTTATTTCTTATAAATCTTTCAAAGCTTTCAGCATTATAAGCTCCAGTTCTTAATTCATAAGCAACCACACCAGAAATATTTATTGCACACATCAAACTTCGGTTTGTATTTCTGTTTCCGGAAACAATGGAATATGCCTTTTCATTTTTTTGGAAATACCCATATCGTCTTCTCAAATTCTGATTAAATCCTGATTCGTCTAAAAAGACCAATTTATTACTAGAAATACGCGAGATACGGCGGGCATATATGGCCCTTTTTTCAATATTTGCTGGGGAATTTCGTTCTTCGGGAACCAATGAAAGCCTTTTTCGCGTTATATTTATTTTCCGCAATTTCCTTGATACTGTTGATTGAGATATTACCATACCGGTTGCTGCATTAACTTCATTTACCATTTCATTTTGCGTCAGTTCATTATTTATTGCCATCGTATTAAATAAAGTATTTTCGATTTCACTGAACAACAAATTTTTGTTTTTGATTGTTTGCTTGTGGCGTTCTCCCTTAGTAGCAAATTTGATGCCTTCTTGATGATTTCTTATGCAGTTTCTTATAGCACTTTGGCTAATGTTTAAAGTTTCGGCAATGTATTTGGTTGAATGATTATTTATCGAATTAGACATGTTTATAATTGTTTCATGAATTTCCTTAGTTATCGTTATTCGACTTTTTCTTGCCATGTAAGGTTTTAAATTTTTATTTTTTAACATTAATTTAAAAAACTTGCATCAATTAGATAAAAACGTTACTGATTTGGTTTATGTTTTTCAGCCAGTTAGTCATTTAATTTTTAATTACAATTTAATATTGTATTTTAATTCCTATGCATTCTTAGATGATTCTGAAAATGACTTGTACTATTATGATGGCATTTATTTATTGTTAAATAAAGCACTTTATATTTTTGCATAAAGCACTTTATAATTTTGCATAAAGCACTTTATAATTTTGCATAACCCTGTAATTTTGATTTTAAAATCTCAAAAAATACGTGTTAAACTCGAATAAATTTGACCGTAATATACACGTTTTTTTGGTTTACGTCTGGATTGTGATAATCGCGTGTCTATACAGGTTTTAATTCCGAAAAAGAAACTAGATGTGCCGGTAGGGATTGGTTTGATAAAGAGCCGTTTTATACTGGTTCGGAAAACTAGGATGTATATATAAGGAACATGTGGAAAAAAAAAGGTCAGTGTGGAATAGACTTACAAAGGCCCATATTTTTACGGGACCCGGTCAGCTAGTTGTTATAAGTAAGACTGATTGAAAATTTTTA